ATTCCACATGTTCGTCGACTATAATGCCGCATTCGACAGCCCAATCCGCTTAGAGGTATTTAAAGTCATGTCTGCGTTCGGCATTCTGGGAAAAATTAATACTGCGTTATCTGAACAGAAATGACACTCTGTACACCAAACAGCATATGTTACTCGCCTACGCCGACGACATCGATATAATGGGTCGAATATTGCGGACGGTAACAGCCACCTTTGAACGAATTTAGAAGGATTCTGCCTAAGTAGGACAGACAGTAAAATGCGAGAAGACCAAGCTGATGGTATCAGTACGCAAGACGTTCAGTATACTCGGACTAACTGTGGAACTTGAAAACTGCATGTTCGAGGTAGTGAACGATTTTATATACCTCGGTACTACCCGCGCTGTTGTATGGATCAAAAGCGTGGATACTTGCACAGGCAGATGATAATGAGTTCTTGGAGTGTTTGAAAGAAAAAATTATCCGGAAGATCTATGGGCCGATCTGCGTTGACGATATTCTCGGACATCGACACACTCAGACGTATCGAGCTGCAGCGAGTACGTTGGCTAGGTCATGTTGTGAAAATGGTTGAGGAGGCCACAGCTCAAAAGGCATATAAAAGCGAACCAGCTGATGGTTCACGCAGAAGGGGAAGGCCAAGAATAAGATGAAAAGACCAAGTGGAAGACAACATTGCCGAATATGGTCTTTCAAATTGGAAAAACTGCGCAAAAGACCGACGCGCCTGGAAAATGTTTTTAAAATCGGCTTATGGAACGAAAGTTATGTCACAAGCCAGCTAAGTAAGTAAGTGTCTGCAAAAGGATAAAACAATAAATTCGGAGTATTATTGCACCGTTTTGGATCAAAGAAATGTACAAATTCGAGAAAAACGTCCTGGCTTACAACACAAAAAATATTTTTTCATCAAGACAACGCACCAGCGCACAAGAGTGTTTTAACAATGGCTAAAATCAACGAATTAAAGTACGAGTTGCTTGACCACCCACCTTTTTGTCCTGATTTAGCTCCCAGTGACTTTTATTTTTCCAAAATTCCTCCCTGGCCAGTGTTTTACCTCAAATGAAGATGCAATTACAGTTGTAAACCACTATTTTGAAGACCTTGAGGAAAACTATTTTAATCAAGGGATATAATTGCTAGAAAAGCGTTGGACTAAGTGTATCGAAGTTTCAGGATATTATATTGAAAAATAAAAAAATATTTTTGAAAAACTAACTATTCTCTTTTATGGATAAGCCATTTTGCACGAAGATCTACACCTACAGCCATATAAAGTCGACGTCTTGCAAAAACTCAAACCAGCTGACCCTATTGACCCTCATGCTGGCGTAAAGGAAAAGGTAGGTCGTCCGGTCGAACTTAACGACCATTTGTGTTTTTGTTGAATATAATTGTAATACATTTTATATATATACATATGTATGTAATTTTTCTAATAAATAAAATTGAACTGCTAATAAATATCGCCTGCTATAAACTGTTTAAGGCAATAATAAAAAATACTGACACTTGTATTGACACGTAACATTTAGTTACATGTATTGTCCACACATTGCTGTTATTCTTGTTATCGTTGTTTGAAAACAAAGAACTGGAAAAAATACAAATAAATAATAAAAAAGGGAACCAAACAACAGAGAGCAACCAAATGTTTTTATACCCTACACAATTATGTTGTCAGGGTAGTATAGCTTTGTACAGCCCCAAGAGTTTGTAACGATGCGAAATATTGGTGCTAGAGCCACCTTTAAGTATGTCTCGACTAGCTTAGTCGATCTAGACATGTGTATCCGCCCGCCCGTCTGTCCAATCGTCACGAACTTTTGCATGTAGGATGGATTCTGGACAACGAAGACCCCTATTGTTTTTGGAAATGGCGAAATGGACCAACAACTTTATTTTTGTCTGTCTTCTGGTCGTTCTAAAGGCTACAATTATGACCCGAACATCACGAGATTTTGCATGGAGAAGGGGATCAGGCCAAAGAATTAGCGCGCCTGTAAATAATATAATAAAGATAGGCCAATATTTAGCCGGTCAAATGGAACCTGCCTTTTGTGTGAAAAATGATAAAATTTATATTCTGGGGCGTATATATTTACTCCTGTAGGCCATTTATCCAGAGATGTTGACAGTAATCCAAGAAGAGTGGTTAACCTTTGAATTGACACCATTTATATTGTTGTATGTACTCGGATGTGGGAGTTATACGTAAATATTTAACCCTTTGTGGCCCAATGTTGCCCACAGGCAACAAAATGTTTTAGAGCTTATATTTAATATGTAGCCAGTAGATATATATATTTTTTGGATTTTATATGTCAAGACCTGATTGTGGACAACACATATCAAAAGAAAAATCAAAAAATTCCAAATTTTGGTATAGTTATGAGCTTTTCAATATAGAGAAGAGGGCAAATTTATGTACAGTAATAATTTGTGTATACAGTCCAAATTATTTAAATCGCGTCGGATTTAAATTGTACGAATTCTGCCATCAGAATTATTTTTAATTCTTGTAAAAATTAATATAGAGAATAATTTAAAATTAATTTTCCGTCGATGTTGCTTTTCGTGTTCTTGATATTGGACTTTAATTTTTCCGTAAGAATGTACTGTATCTCCGGAATGCAAGGATGTAGCGATGTCAACTTTTGTGCATATTCTATTTAGGATAGCTGCATTAAATCTGTGAACAGAAATTTGTTCTAAGAATGCGGAAAAAATTCGGGGATCAAAGGGTAAATGGTGTCTATGTGTTATGATATTGTTTAGTTGATATTGTTTTGTTTAGTTGTTTACTGGTTCCCCACTAGAGGGCGGAAATGTCACGCTGATAGCTTTGAAATTTTACATAGAAGTTTTAGTTATTGCCAAGGACAACGCCAATAATTTTCGGTAATGTTGAGATGATATTTAAGAGAACCGAAAACTTTTTTTTGTCAGATTTTCTACTCGCTCTAGAGGTCATTATTATAGGCAGAACATCACCTATTCTACACGGTGAATGGGATCTGACCAAATACTTAGAACGGGAGGGTCAAAACTACCTAAAACAAGATTTGGACAAGATTTGATGGCGGGCATGATAACTCCTCACTGGAACATCGGAATTCGAAAATTCCAACGGTGTTAGAAAGAGTACATGTCTGGCTCTCGTATGACCTAGGATTATTGACTTCGCTCTAAAATTAACAAAATGGCGGACCTTTGAAAAAATATTTTTGGAAAATCGCCGATTTTTGACCAAAAACAAACATAAAAAATAAGGAAGATCTTCACCGATTGGCTTTATCCTAGTTCATACGATAGCTATACACTCACAGAGAAACGTGTAAAAATTTGGAAACGAGTAAAAATTCGCAAAACCTATGTTTAGAGAAAAACGAGTTTAAAGTTTGAGAAGTCCTTCAGCCGTCACTTGATGTTGACACAATAAATCGACTATATCTTCAAGAGTTATTGAGATTTTCACTTGAAAAAAAATGTTGACCCCCAGAATGGGGGAGGGTGTTCTCCATTAAGTGGAAGCTGTGCGAACCAGTTTTTTTATGTTCTCTATCGATTTGTGAATAAGCCACTCATTTTAAGGTCTTCGTGTCCAAGTAAAACTAGAAGCCTACAAAATGGGGACTATGTCTCTTATGCATCATTTTTTTTTTCAATCTTAACTGCATCTACATTAAAATTATGCTGACATTTTGAAGCTCGGTTTTGAGTATTTTTTGAATTTTACTTCTAGCTTTAATACGCAAACAGGAATTTCTAAAAATCTATAAGATTATTGAAGTCGCAAATCTGAGTAATACTCATCCAAAGGTGAACATTTTGTGCGATCAAGTTTCTAAAAAAAAAAAAACTATTTTTCGGGCCAAATTTTTAGATCTGTCAACTGAATGATATGGGTACCCGCGATCAGTAAGGTTTTTTAAAATAAAATCTTCTTCGCGATAATAAATCCACTAGAAGGGCGGGAACTGGCCTTCCAAAAATACGAATGTTGGCAAAAAAAAATGTTTTTGAAAATATCGCGGATTAAAGTGCATTTTCTGTGGATCATTTCCGTTTCAATAAATGACCTGATATCCATTTTGAACTTTTGCGAAAAGAGAACTTTATTAGTTATAGTTTATACACACACTTCATTCTAGATTTAATTCAGTACGCTATGCCAAATTTCGTGCAAATCGAAGGATATATGCGACCTATACTTTGCTCACAAAAATACATGGACGGACATGCATAAATCTGTGGTTTGCAGAGGTTTACAGAATAAAACACGGGTTTCATTATTCGATTTCTATAGGGTATACGATCTTCATCAAAGAGTTGACTATCTTTGAGGAGGAGATTTAAAAAGTAGGTTTCAAAAAATATTACGATTTGCAAAGATTTGATCTATATCTTGATATTGCAATAAATATATTTCAAAATGTTGACACTTTGTGAGAATGATACCAGAAGGTATGGACCAATCAAGCTTGATCTTTGACAGACGGACGGAAATTCGTAAATCTATTCCAAATTGTCTGAAACGGAATTGGTGTAAAGAAACCATGGGTTCTAAAACCAATATTTCGATGAGGCACATTTTTAAAATAAAAACAGTTTTTTTTTTTTGCTCTGCAATGATAATCCAAAATATTAAAATTACACCCAATTTGGATCCAAAAGGATGTAATATAGGTTCATAAGTAAAACCAAATCATTAATGTCTTAATTACTTTGCATATGCTTATTCAAATTTACATTTAATCTAATGTAGAAAAACACAACTTTTTATTACAGATCATAGAACTTTGTTCCATTTTTTAGTAACTGAAATTAATTATAATAATTGACATAATAGTCTTATCATTAGTTTTGTCTTTATTCCTTTGTTTTGATGCATCTCAAAACATACATACATACATATCTACACTTATTTGCATTATATCAGTTACAAATATTATTTGTAAAAAACCATATAAATATAGGTTTCTTTCTTTACAGCAAAGAATATATTCAGGACAGTTGGGAAAGCAACACAACACCCAACACTCAGGAGAACGGCGGCATTTCATTCAAAATGAATAACAAATGGCTAAGTATTGCCATTTTTATGGCATTATATATTAACCTTTCCCGGGGTTATTCAGCATTGGAGGATGCTCGTATTATTGCCGAATATAAGAAGAGCATCCAATCGAAACCTGACGAATTAAATCATGCTGAAATTGCTCGTAAATTGGTTCATCAAACAGATTGGGCTGCGGTTGGTACAATATCACAAAAACCAGCAATAAAAGATTATCCCATGGTTAATATCATCTCGATAAATGATAACGATGGGCAGCAAAAGTCAACGGGACGCATACAATTTCTATTAACTGATTTGGATTTTACTGGTGCGGATAGGAAAGTGAATAATAGGACAACATTCCTATTTACCGATGAACAAAGACTACATTGTTCACAAGCTATACCATCAACTGATCCTATGGAGCCGAAATGTGCCCGGGCAGTGATAAGTGGACAAATTAAAAAGGTATAGCAATACCACATAAACATAAAAGTATATATATTATTCATAATTGTTTTTCTTTCTTTTTTTCAGTTGGATAAAGATAGCCCAGACTATAGCCCAGCTGAGGCATCTTTTATAAAACGTCATCCAGCTGCTGAAAATTGGATAAAAAGTAAGCATTTTTTGAGATTTTATATATTTTTTTTTTTATATATTCGATTAGATTTTCAAACATTTTTTTTTTATTCCTAAAATGTTACAGGGCACAATTTCTATTTATGTGAATTGGAAATTGAAAATATTTACGTATTGGATAGCTATGGTGGTCCTCAGAATATCAAAGCCGATGATTATTACAATATTAAATTGGAATAATCACACACCAACAAAAAAGAATATATAAATAATATGCATTTTTACAATATGAATTTAAATTTGCGATTTTTTATCAAAAACAAGTCATCACTTTTTATAAATTTGAAAATAACAATAATAAACAAAATATTTACATCTCGAAGTAGAATTATACAAAAAATAATAAATACTGTTTAATTTGATTTACCATTTCGTAAAAAAAATCTACAAGAGGTAGGAGTGTCCTTTTATACATTTATAAATCGAAACGAATTTATTTCTCAAAGAAACCTCAAATGAAACCAATATTTCGTTGAGGCACTTTTTTGCCGTTCTAAGATCACGAAATATGAAAAATTAATATTTTTACTGATACCTTCCATATACCAAAATTGGCATCGATGTACCTGCCCCACCATAAGATGGAGTGTATATTAAATTTGTCATTCCGTTTGCGATATATTCACCGAAGACACCATAAAATATAAATATTTTTAATAAAAATAATATTCTATGTCGATCTAGGCATGTTCGTTTGTTGAAATCACGATAGAGATAACAATATTTAAGATAAAAATTTGACCAGTAAGGAAAGTAGTAAAGTCGGGTTGGGCCGACTATATGATACCCTTCATCACTTTGGGTATATTCTACATACATATGTATCCTAAAAGACGTCGCCTTTTGAAGAAGAAACTTTGACATAAAATTGAACGAACTTAAATATGTGATCTTTGTCTATATGTAAACCGATTAACATCAATCCCTGCACATGCCATTTTGCAAGCTATGCTAAATTTTGTAAATCGATTTAAAGCAAACTTGACACATGGTATTTATTATTCTTCACTGTATAAAATGTAATATCAATCAGGCACCCATTGATTATTTGATGTACAATAAATATGAATAGGTCGAAATTACATATGGAAGCTATCCTACATCTAAATCTGAACTGATTTCAAGGAATCTATGCAGAGATTAAGTTATATTAATTTCAGTATGTTGTATCAATGGGTCTGTAGTGAACCATTTACTTCAAATCGGACGAAAATATATATAGGAGCTATATGTAAATCTGAACCGATTTCAAGAAAACTTGACACACTAAAGAATATACTAACTTCAGTACATTGTGCAATTGTGTGCCAGTCGGCAAAAAATGTTGGGTCTTTAGTGCACAATTTACATTAAATCGGGCGAGAATATATATGGAGCTACATCATTCTGTACTGAATTCAGTTCGTTATGCAAAATTTCGTGCAAATCGAAGTATATAAACTGACTTTGGTGCACCATTTACCTTAAATCGGACGAAAATATATATGGGAGCTATATCTTTATCTGAACCGATTTTCATGAAACTTAACACACATCATTCTGGGCCTAATTCAGTAGCATATGCCAAATTTCGTGCAAATTGAAACATATATAGGGACTTTGGTGCACCACTTACATAAAATCGGACGAAACTATATACGGGACTATATCTAAATCTGATCCGATTTTCAAATCGGATCGACCTGTACTTTGTTCACAATTTTACATCTACAGACGGACGGACATGTATAAATCGACTCAGAAATTGATTCTATGCATATTCTCAAAAGGAACCATGGGTCTATCTCTTTTCCTTTTGCCTGTTACAAACATACGTACAAAGACATATTACCCTGTACCACAGTGTGGTGAAGGGTATAATAATGGACTTCTTTTTCCCCAACCTAATATATTAAGGGGACCCCAACTTAATATATTAAGGGTGTCAAAATTTCAAGTGAAAATCTCAAGAATTCTCTTGACGGCAAGAGTGATTCTCAAACTTTAAACGCATTTTTCTTAAAGCATGTTTTTACGAATGGCGGGAACGATAACTCAAAAACTAATTATCCAATCGATTCCAAATTTTTACACGTTTCTCTGTGAGTGTATAGCTATCGTATGAACTAGGATAAAGCCAATCGGTGAAGATCTTCTTTATTTTTTAACCTGGTATGTGGTCAAAAATATTTTTCAAAGGTCCGCCGTCAATAATACTAGTTCATACAAGAGACGTGTACTCTTTATGACACCGTTGGAATTTTCGGATTCCGACTTTAATTACAAAAAACAACAACAAAACAATAAATTTTTTTTTTTGTAAATTATTTTTCTTCTCTTTTAAATCTTCAAATATATGTGCAAAGTTACAAACCTTAACAAGCATAGGTATTAATTTGCCAGCTCATTGAAAATCTTCAAAAATTAAAATAAAGAATTGGGGGGGGGGGGGGGGGGGGTTGTTTCTCTTAAAATAAAAATATTCTGTCATACAAGTAATTTTTTCAAATAAATAACATGCAACTACTAATAAATATCACATGCTATAAATATCGTTCAGGCAATGTAAAAAAAAGTACCCGCACAATAGTAACATTTGGTACAAAATTTTTGTTTACACATTTTTGTTCGTATGCTTTGTTTTGATATTGTGTGCTTCTACTTGTTATCGTTGTATGAAAACAAAGAACTGGAAAAATACAAATAAATAATAAAAATATGGAACCAGACAACAGAGAGCAACTAAATGTGTTTTTGTTTTCAATTAGTTTCTCTTTATTCACTGCTGTTCGTAGTCTTTTGGCGAATATTGACATTTTTGCAATACTCGAAGTCAGTCACAATACGGAAACGACAGTGAACGGTAAGAAAGTACCGCAGCTTAAAAGGGCACAAAGATCGCGCACAAAAAATTTTGGAGATTTTGCCAAAGTATTAATAATTATTGTAAGGAAACAAATAATAAATGTTCGGTAAAAATAAAAACAATGCAAAAAGAATATTTAAATTATATTCTTTGTTCGGTTGAACTCCTTTGTTCGTGGGTTTAATTTTTCTTGAACTTTTGCGTATTTGCCAAAAAGACATACATACATATATACATATGTGTCTCCAAATGGAGAAGTTTCAATGATAACAGCTGACTGTAATGTGGAAAAAAGGGGTAACAAAAACAAATCCAACATTGATTTCATTATCATGTTTGATAAGCAATCAAGCTGACTGGGCAGACTATGTAGAAAGTAAAATTAAAAATAAGTAAAAAAACCGCCGTTAGTCAATGATCGAAAATAGACATAGAAATAAAATTGTTTTGGTTGTAATGTTTAGAAAATAATAGATGCATAATATTCTTAAAAAAATATAATTAAAGTAAATAAATGGGAGGAATATGGCCTATACCAATTTCAAGGCCCGATCTCAAATTGTATTGAAATTTTGAACATAAGAAATGTGGGTATCACTATGTAGTGCATGAAGTCCGTTTAAAAAGTGCCGAAGACCGTCCTCCCGCCAGCAAATAACATTTTATTTAAAATGTAATATTCTGTCGTGTTGTCGATTTTGACATCTGTCCATATGAGAAAGTCTACGTAAGCGTTCCAGCGTAAGCGTTGAAGCCCATATTTAAAAAGAATTGGACAACCCGAACTTTGAATACCCTCCACCATAGGTATACTGACAGATACTTAAAATGAAAATATAGGAAACATACAAAAAAGTGTACCAATGCCGATAATTCTACAAACCGGTTTATGTAAACCATTGCGAACACCAAATACAAATTTCAGCAACTTTTAATGAAAACCCCAATGCGTAGACTAATACTAATAACGCATGGTAGAATATACATTCGTCAAACTACCTCAATTTCGATTACATAGTGTAGGAATTAGCGAATATTTGGGGTTATAGTTATATGTGGGCTATACCTAATTAATGACCGACAAATGTCAATTTCGAACTCAATTGTGTCTCAATTCTTTCCTTCAGGAGGTATCATTATATGAGGGGAGATGCCTAAATGCTGGCCGATATATTTCATTATCGTCAGGTTCGAGTTTTTTATCACGATTTCCGTAGAAAGCGGAATGATTACAACCGATGGCTAAATCGTCTTAGAATTCCATAATTTGTAGGGCAAAACTGGCAATTTATACATGTTATACATGTTAAGTTTGAAATAAATAAAAAAAAAAATCGAGTAACGACTATCCCCTATACTATGGTAGAATACGCCTATATGGGGACAACCCCTACACACGGAACTAATCAGATAACTATTTTAATATAAGAAGTTATATGGGAACTACCACTAAATATTAATAATTTTTGGAAGGAAGATTTGTTACCGTATGCGACTACAAAATTCCAAATTACAGCGACTTCGGTTGAAAAACGCGCTCAAGAACCCCAAAAATACCGAAAATTGGGATGCCCTTATATGGGGGCTATGCCTAAACGTGGACCGATATAGTCCATCTTCGAACTTGACCTGCCTGCAGTCAAAAGACGACTCTATGCAAAATGTAGTTGATCTATCTCAATTCCTTCAGAATATAGCGTGATTACAACTGACGGACGGACATGGCTAGATCTTATCAAGAACTTTATATGGTCGAAAGTGAATATTTCGATGAGTTACAAACGAAATGACAAAATTAATATAGCCTCCTCACTAGGTGTAGGGTATAAAAAACAGTAAGGAATGGGAGCTATATCTTAATCTGAACCGATTTTAAAGAAACTTAACACACATCGTTCTAGACTCAATTCAGTACGCTATGCCAAATTTCGTGCAAATCTAAATATATATAGGGACTTTGGTTCACCATTTACAATAAATCGAACGAAAATATATGTGGAAGCCACATCCAAATCCGAACCGATTTTCACGAAACTTAACACACCATTTTGGATTTAATTCAGTATGCCATGCCAAATTTCGTGCAAATCGAAAGATGTATAGGGCCTTTGGTACACCATTTATATAAAATCGGAGAAAAATATATATATATGGGAGCGATATCTAAATCTGAACCGATTTTCACGAAACTTAACACAAATCGTTCTATACTCAATTCAGTTCGCCATGCCAAATTTCGTGCAAATCGAAAGATATAAAGGGACTTTGGTACACCATTTACAAAAAAAAAACGGACGAACATATATATGGGAGCTATATCTAAATCTTAACCGATTTTCACGAAACTTAACACACATCATTCTATACTCAATTCATTTGCCTTGCCAAATTTCGTGTAAATCGAAAGATATATAGGGACCATTTACAATAAATCGGACGAAAATATATATGACAGCTATATCTAAATCTGAACCGATTTTTCCCATTTTCTATAGGGTTCGTCCTTGAGACAAATAAATGAGCTGTGCCAAATTTTATCCAATTCGGATCATAAATGCGACGTGTGCTTTGTTTACAATTTCACATGGACAGACAGACGGGCGGACGCACATGCATAAATCGAACCCGAAAGTGATTCCATGCATATTCTCGTTTCCTTTTGTCAGATACAAAAATATGCACAAAGACATAAAACCCTGTACCACAGTGTGGTGAAGGGTATACAAAATAGGTCAAAAAGGGTTTTACTCAAAGAATTTTTTTTATTACACCATGGGCTTTTCTTCCATTTTTATGCATGGTGTAACTAATTAACTGCAATTATAATTATATTATCATTTTATGTGTTAATACCTTTGTTGTAATATGGATATTCTTATTCAAATTAACATTCTTTGATAAATCTGCATCAGATAATACAAAAATCAAAAGGCAGGTTGGTTTATTCCTAAAAATACTCCATAGGCTCGGCTCTTTGTTGCATTCTTATGCATGGTGTAATCAACTGAAATTATAATTAATGCCGAAATAATTATCTTATCATTATTTTTGTCTTATCTCCTTTGTTGTGACATACACATACATACATATCTACACTTAATTGCATTATATCAGTTACAAAGAATATTATTTGTACAAAAATATAAATAAAAGTTTATTTCTTTTCAGCAAAGAATATATTCAGGGCAATTTGGAAAAGCAACACAACACCCAACACTCAGGAAGAGAGCGGCATTTCATTCAAAATGAATAACAAATGGCTAAGTATTGCCATTTTTATGGCATTATATATTAACCTTTCCCGGGGTTATTCAGCATTGGAGGATGCTCGTATTATTGCCGAATATAAAAAGGGTTTATCCGTGAAAGGCATCCGGTCGAAACCAAACGAATTAAATCACGCCGAAATTGCTCGAAAACTGGTTCATCAAACAAATTGGGCTTCGGTTGCTACAATATCACAAGATCCAGCAATAAAAGGTTTTCCCATGGTTAATATCATTTCGATTAATGATAACGATGTACATCAAAAGTCAACGGGACGCATACAATTTCTATTAACTGATTTGGATTTTACTGGTATTGATAGGCAAGTGAATAATAGATCAACATTCCTATTTACCGATGAGCAAAGACTACACTGTTCACAACCAAGTGGTTATCATGTACCATCAATTGATCCTATGGAGCCGACATGTGCCCGGGTGATGATAAGTGGACAAATTAAAAAGGTATGGGCAGGCATTCGTACATAAAAATTAAATAAATTTCATAAATTTTTGTTTTGCTTGCAGTTGGACAAAAATAGCCGAGACTATGACCCAGCACTGGTGTCATTTGTTGAACGTCATCCAGCAGCTAAAAATTGGATAAAAGGTAAGCAGTTTTTCGAAATTTGATAATCAATTTGAGTTGATTTATAAATGTTGTTGTTTTCTTGTTTAAAATATTACAGCCCACGAATTCTATTTATGTGAATTGGAAATTGAAAATATTTACGTATTGGATTTCTATGGTGGTCCTCATAATGTCAAACCCGATGATTATTACAATATTAAATTGGAGTAATTACACAATCAAAATAAGAATATGTAAATAATAGGCATTTTACAACATGATTTTTAATCAGAATTTTTTTATAAAAAAGCAACAACTTGTGATCACTTTTTATTAATTTTGTAAATAACAATAATAAAGAAAATGTTTACAGCTCGAAGAAGACTTATACATACGCCACTGTATGTAAAAAAATAAAAATAACTTTCTGAATTTTTAAGTTTTATGCCTTTTTACGACGAAGGTTCATTCATGTAAATGTTTTTTTTTTATTAATTTTTCTTTCGACATGATCGAAGTGGCAATGAAAAGGAAAGCCAGAGAGATACTACATTCCCACCAATATGCGACGCGTTTCGCCTTTGGTTAAGCGGTTCATCAGGCATATGGGCAATGTGGCTTAAAAATGTCGTCACTTGATAAGTTGTATTTATGTCGAATATTGTTGCGAAATTGCATCTAAATTCAACCGTGTCAATGTTCGGACATTTGGCATCACACCAGGGCATTCCTCTTCAGATCCGATTTTTCTTGTAGTAACGGACTTTTTTCCATACAGACTACAATATTTTTTCTTCAATGGTAATAAACTGCATATTTGATTGCAAGTCCGCTCTGCATGATATACGACAGATAGTTAATTTATGTTGGGATCCACGTCATAGTAACACAGAAGGGAACGAGATAGCCGACGAGCTTGCTCGAGGGGCTCACAATCTTCCGATTGAGAGATCTGTGCAACCACCCATTGGTTATGTCATTTTCAAAATCCGCTTTTTCTACGGCGTAGTAGTTGGTAACAGATGGTCGAGAGAACCTGGTTGCAGAATCTCAAAAGCTATCTGGCCTAATTCGCTCGCCGAACAACTTCTTTGATTTTGCCACATAATAAGACAGAGAGAGAGACAAAATCATTGTGGGGATCATAACAGGTCACTGCAGTATTAGATCTCTCACTTCGAAATGGCAGTCCAGCGGAGAGGATTACTGTCGTTTATGTGAGGACGAAGAAGAGCTAGAAACAATTGAACATATCCTCTGATAATTTTTAATAATTTCTTCTCTAAGAGGGGTTTTACACTGTTGGTGATTGGGATTGCTGTTGAGAGTTCACTCTCTCTCATTGGTAAATTGGGAATAGAGTTGGAAAACATTGCCACAGGTAGGAACAAAAAAGTACGAAAAGGTACCTAAAATTCTACTTCAAATGATAATTAATCATAATTATCGATAAATATTGGCCAATATTTATACCAGTTATTTTCATAAATAATATATGTTATAATTTAAGCGTAAATGTATTCAAGAATAATAACAAAATCTACTACTTGTTTTGGTGCGTTTATGTCAATTCGTACCTATTGTGAACAAAAAGTACGCTTGTTACAAAATTAAAAATAGCGCAACTCTAATTACTCTCTCAAGAGAGAAAAACTCTCAACACCAATCCCAATTACCACAAGTGTAAAACCCCGCTAAAATAGACCCCAACCAGATCCTAGGCTTTGTCAAAAATCTGACATGACTAAAATAACCATCTCTAGACTCTCCTTCTCCTACTATTTTCTCCTCTCTTCCACTGTCTCTTCTTTTCGCATTTTATTTTCCGGTATAAAGGATGATCACAATGGACAATAGTCTCCGAGTGGACGATTACTACTAACAACCGTACATCCCTAACCTAAGCCTGGGCTTTGTCATGTTAAAGCTAATCAGAGCCTATCTTCCCCTACGGAAATTCAAGGAATTTTCAATGACTTTCTTATTACAGTCAAATCTTTCATTTGGATATAATAATACATTCTGGGGAAGGCGAACAAAAATAAGCACGAATCTCTTTGCTGGTTATATGTGTGCGCCCAGCAATGTTTTAAAATTTAGAAATTAAAATAATAATTATGGTTGCAAAATTATTATTTTTTTATTAAAAACTTAAATCAAACATTCAAGATACAACTAAACAGGTACCAAAACTGAATAAATTGTTTACCTCTAAACATAAAAAAACGATTCATAAGTTGACTTAAAAATATGGACAAAAATAAATTGAAATAATTCTATCTTCTAATATTTGTGTAGAGATGCATTTTAATATATCAAAAAAGGTTTCACTGTGAAATTATAATGCAAGGGAATTTCATTGAGAAATCATTTAAAACTAAATATTCTTTTATATTTCATATATAAAATAAAGATAAAGATGAAAAAGTTTAACTTAAGAATTTAACACAAGCTTTGTTACAAAAGAAAATAAAAAATACCACACCGGTATTAAAAAATATAAATAAACTAACAAAAAACATAACAAATTCAATCACTTCATCCAATACCGGAGATTAACATATAAATTCGAATATGCTTAAATTGAATATATAATTTGTGCACTTTTCTATTTATCATACATTGCTGTGGAGGATATTTGATGGTGTGATTTTTTCAGCGACGCCACAAATGGTTCAATATGCTTACATGCAAGCTTCTCTTTCCACATGAGCAAATTTTTTAAATCATTCAAGACAATTGTACATTTTCGATCAAAAATTTCATAGAATTCTAATACGTCAATTTGACCTTTTACAATGTAGATGGCAAAATCACATAACTGCATTAGGGTTTTAGCAGCAATCGCACACAATCTGTATGTATATATGTGAGTGTGTATGTAAATATGTTTAATAATAATATTATGAAAATTAAAACAAAAGCCCTTACCTTTCATCAATATTATAGCAAATAGAAATTTTAATTGTTGTCAATATATCGCTATAAAATGTAAACCAAATATAATGTTCGTCATAACTGTGTAGAATATTTGTTCGAATTTCCATTATTAATTCATACGATTGAGTTATGAAATCTGCAAGGGAGAAAAAAAGGAAAAATGTAGATATTTTTATGAGGAAGGTATAGTGGTATAGTCATATGTGACACAAAGGCTCATTCAGTTTCGCAAATTCAATCATTAAATCGGAGAGGCCTTCTCCTCAACCATACAGAGAAAACCGGCTTCTGCAGAGGATATTTTCAATTGTTTCTAGCTCTTCTTCGTCCTCAGATATACGGCAGTAATCCACTCCGTTGGTGTCCAATTTTGAAGTGAAAGATCTAATCCTGCAGTGACCTGTTATGATCCCCACAATGATTTTGATCTCTCTCTTATTGTGTACCAGCAGCGAAGACGCTCTTTTGCGAGAGAATTCAGGCCAGATAGATTTTGACATTCTGTAAGCAGGTTCTCTTGACCATCTGTTACCGACTACCTCGCCGTAGAATAAGCAGATTTTTCTAATGACATAGCCAATGGGTTGTTGCAACGATCTCTCAATAGGAAGATTGGACGATTGTGAGCCCCCTCGAGCTAGCTCGTCGGTTATCTTGTTCCCTTCATTAAATTTTCTATGAGAGGGAGTACAGTCGCTGATGTGAGTACTCCTCTCCAAGAAGTCACAACCTGGCGTTATGTTGAGGATACTAACGTGACCATAGTTTAGCGATTTTCAGGCATCCGTTTCTCGGAGCTTCAGAGCACATCTGACCGCCTGGAATTTAAACAGAATGTGGTTGGAGATTCAGGATCGCATTCAAGGCTTCTTGAGAAGAAATGGTACTAATGTGACTATGTTCCCTCTCATAGAGACTTTAATGAAAGAAAGGAGAGTTTCCTAGTAGGGAATCCTGGACTAGTGGCTCCTTACCTCTGCCAGGTCTGTAATTTTTCACTTAAAAGCAGTTCTTGATTGCAAGTTCGCTCTGAACGATACACGACAGATAGTTAGCTTATGATGTGTTCCAGGATATAGTGACATTGAAGGGAATGAGATAGCCGTGGCTCACAAATGTCAAATCTTCTGATTGAGAGATCTGTGCAACCACTCATTGGCTATTTCATTGGCAAAATCCGCTTATTCTACGTCGAGGTAGTTGGAAACAGATGGTCGAGAGAATCTGGTTGCAGAATCTCAAAAGCAATCTGGTCCAAAAAAGAAACACCAACCAGAACCTAGGTTTTGTCAAAAATCTGAAATGGCTAAAATAACCATATCTAGGCTCTCCTTTTCCTACTATCTTCTTCATGCTCTTCCACTCTCTCTTCTCTACCCTTTCTCTTTTCTGGTATAAAGGATGATCACAATGGACAATAGTCTCCGAGTGGTCGGTTGTTTCTAACAACCGTACACCCATAACCTAATCTAAGTGTCCGAATTGTCTGTATATATAGATTTATAAATAATTAAATTTTCTACTTACTTTTGCATGCCAAATAACGAGCATGTTTTAACTCGACAATGATGCGATATTCATTTTGTGGACCAAAATATTTCTTAGCATGTAAAAATATTGTCAGCTGCAGAACGTAAATATCACGATCATTTTGTTTATCGGATTTTAAATTACGATCTAATTGTTCTTCTAAAATACGTAATCGTGTACGATATTTTGACAGCAAGCCATGATAGTGTGTGCCACATTTAGGGCATACATTTCGATCGGCGGTTAATTCAATTCCTTTACATTTGTCACAATAAATTATGCTACGAAGAGTCTGCAGAAGCAAAAAGTATACAAATTATTTACTTACTTATATAGCCGGACGGGCCGACTATATAATACCCTTCACCACTATGGGTACATACAAGAGGCGCTAATATATACAATATCCGGCAGATAGAACAGACATATAATCTTTAGATTTTTCCAAAACTTAACACACATCATTCTTTACCTAATTTAGTACGTTTTGCAAAATTTCGTGGCAATCGGAAAATTTATATGAGCTTTGGTGCACCATTTACATTAAATCGGGCAAAAATATATACGGGAGCTATATCTAAATCTGACCCGATATTCACAAAACTTAAGACACATATTTCTAGTTTTAATTCAGTACGCTATGCCAAATTTCGTGCAAGTCGAAAGATATATAGGGACTTTGAGGCACCATTTAACCAAAATCGCACGAAAATATATATGGGAGCTATATCTAACTCTGAAGCGATTTTCACGAAAATTAGCACACATCATTCTAGACTCAATTAAGTCCGCTGTGCCAAATTTCGTGCAAGTCGAAAGATATATAAGGACTTTGGTGCACCAATTACATAAAATCTTAACCAATTTTCCCCAATTTCAATAGGATTTGTCCTTGGGCCAAACAAATGAGCTGTACCAAATTTCATTCAAATCGGATTATAAATGCGACCTGTACTTTGTACTTAAACTCAAAAAGTGATTCTATGGATATTCTCAAAAGGAACCATCGGTCTATCTCATTTCTTTTTGCAATGTGGTGAAGGGTATAAAAATGGGTGTATTAACTTACAATAGAATCTTGTATATTCGACTCAGAATTACAATGCTCACAATGGCATTGAATTTTACCAAATTCTTTTAGAAAACGTTGTCTATCCGATTGACAATTAAATGAAATATTTGATGTATAGGTTACATAAAGTTGTTCTCCTTTGTTAATGGGTTTCAGTGCTTTTCCCATAATTACACCATTATTCATAATACTGTAAATAGAGGGCAGTGAAATTTTGTTGTATAACAAAATCATGTCTCATCTAACTTACATTATTTCCACATTTGGCCTACACGAATATTCAAATTGTTTTAGTAACGGTGCATACATACTTGCTAGCTGATGTACACAGGTGCTCCGCTCCGCCAGCTGCACAAAGAAATCCGTATAATGATTGTGAAATAAACGGGTATATTTCTTGACAAAATAATAACGTTGCATATCGTCTATTTGGGTTATGCTCGAACATAACAGTTTGGCAGTTACGGGAGTTAATGCCTCCTCGGCCTGTTGTCCATAGATAATTTTATTTATTAATTCGGGATTAAAGTACAGCTCGGCAATGTGATCTTTATAGATGCTTAGCAACGAATAGAGGCGTCGACATTGGCGTTTAGAATTATTCGGCGTGCAAATGATGGATGTTAATTTATTTGTATTTTCTGTAGATCTGATATATTGTTGCGATTTTTTCCATATCTCCTTCTTAATATCAATTTTATAATATTCAACAAGATCCTTGTTAATGATTTGGTCATTACGTTGTGTCGCCGCCACGGCATTTTTTAATTGTTCGGTGGTGTTGTTTGCAGCAAGTCCTTGTAGCAGCATATCGAATTCATTTATTTCAAAATCAAAAGTATTCAACAGGAGATTACAATGTATGCGCATTAGTATACAGCCAACAATAATTAATTTTTGTTTATCGGACATTTGTAAACGCCGATAATAGTCCTCAATCATGGTTGTCTTCGCATCAATAAAGATGGCCAAACGAAATGCCGTTGTGACCAATGTCGAATATTGTATTTCACTTAAAAGATCATATCGAGGTTCCATTGCCAATATTGATATGGGTGCTTGATTTTCATCATCACTAAATTTCGTTACTTTTAAATCATCCAATAAATGAAACCAAACATCTACGGCTGTACGAAAATTACGATACGACTTAGTGTTGAAAACTAATTTATCCAATATTTTTGATATTTTGGCAAATATACGAAATATTTGGCTAGCATCCAAATACAATAATGTTAATTGCATAAAACCGAAACATTCAATTTCATGTTCGAGCCGATCCTTTCTCATACAATTGACGGAGCAATAAGTTTTGTAGTGGCATTCCAAGCAAGTATATATTTGTTGTTTACACATTCGGTAACATAGCTCACAACGTATATATGGAGCTTTAATTGATTGATACGTTGGATTTTCGATGAATATAATTTCACCACGCTGGAAATCGTTATTCGATATCATGAGACCATTTCTATGAAATAGGTAAAATAATAAAACATAGGTTATAAAGGTTAGTTGGGTATTTTAGTTGTTAAGGTCTGTGGAGTCAAAATCCGTGTCGTGTCGGGGTCGAGAACCTATATAGCCAACATCTACACAAATTTAGTATACAGATTAAGAGTTTTGAGGGGAAGACTATAGAAAAAAATCAGACCTAAGATCTAACAATATTTTAATAGAGAAAAAAAATGCCAGACCTTAGGTCGACAATTTTTTTCAATTGAAAAAAACTCAGACCTGAGGTCTGACGAATTTTTTTTCTATAGAATAAAAACTCAGACCTGAGGTCTGACGAATTTTTTTCTATAGAAAAAAACCTCATCAACTGAGGTCCTGATTTTTTCTATAGAAAAAAACTCTGACCTGAGGTCTGACAAATTTTTTTCTATAGAAAAAAAAACTCAGACCTGAGGTCTGACAAATTTTTTTCTATAGAAAAAAAACTCAGACCTGAGGTCTGACAAATTTTTTTCTATAGAAAAAAACTCAGACCTGAGGTCTGACAAATTTTTTTCTATAGAAAAAAACTCAGACCTGAGGTCTGACAAATTTTTTTCTATAGAAAAAAACTCAGACCTGAGGTCTGACAAATTTTTTTCTATAGAAAAAAACTCAGACCTGAGGTCTGACAAATTTTTTTCTATAGAAAAAAACTCAGACCTGAGGTCTGACAAATTTTTTTTTATAGAAAAAAACAGACAAATTTAGTTTTCCAATAGAAAAAAATTATATCTAAGGTCAGACAATTTTTTTCTAAAAAAAAAAATTACAGACCTGAAGTCTGTCAATATTTTTTATAGAAAAAATCTGATCTGAGGTCTACAATTTTTTTTTCTAAAAAAATCAGACTGTAGTTCTGACAATTTGTTAATGTAGGGCCCACCAAATATGCAGCGAAAGTGCGAGGTCCATTTTGGTATAGGTCCATTTTCAGGGCATCTATAGAACCGACTGTGGTCATCTTCAGAGATTACTTTTAGGAGTTTTAAGATGGGTTATATAAAGACTGATTTAGACGTCGTCCATACAGCTTGTCTCGTATGGACCAAATGTCGCTTTTGCGTAATCCCATTAATACAACTCGAAAATTGTCTATTAGACCTTTGAATATAATATTTGTAGCTATTAAAAATAATTACCCATTTTCACTGCATTTCCTAAACGTTTCGATAGTTTCAGTATGATTAATCCCATTTGGAAAAGTAGTGTATATTTCTTTCAATTCATTTTTGAAATTGTCAAGTTGTTTTTCAATTTGTACTGTAATTAAAAAAATATATAATTTTAACTGTGGAAAAAATTAAAGAGCTTTCGTTACTTACCAAAACAATTTCTTTGTAGAGATTTTCGTGTTAATTTAGCTGTGAATAGATTTTAAATATAAATAAATATTAATTTAAATTAAATATTTTCATTTTACCTTTAAATTCATTGTATTTCTCAGTGTAGATTTTAGCCTTAGCATATTGGCTCATCATATACATACAAATAATTAGGTGGCCCAAAACTTCACAAACATCATCGTCCGGTACCTTGGCATATTGACAAATATACATAAACATTTCGTAGTCTTTTGTGGCACACTGAAAATATATAGCAATTTTACAGAGTTTATAGAAATTGGAATTGGACCTGAAAATAATTAAAGAATAATTTCTGTTTCCCCATATATACAAATATTTTGCCCACCTTTTCATTTCCAAAATTTGGTTCGAAATTCGAAAAAATTAAAATACACTTTTATTGAATACTGAATACTAAGTATTTTCATTTATTTATTTCTGCTTCTTTAAAGTAGATAGATAGTAGATTTACTTATAAACTAATCGACGAAACATATCCCATATCAAATTATAATTAACATCCCCTGACATATTTATATATTTATTTTTAAAAGGTGGTATTAAATTTCCCTTCGATTACAAAGAGATTAGAAATATTGTTAAGACTTTCGATTTAAATGTGTAGAAATTGATTTGATATGGATATGCCGTCCATTTTGCCTGAAAATGCATTCGAATATATTCGATTTTCTTTAATAATAAAATACAAAAAAGAACCCTACAACCTAAATTCAAATTATTTATTGAAAAGTTTTAGAAACGTTGCTGGAAATTCTGTTGCTGTTGATTGAACATCATTTGTTGGGCAGCAGCGGCTGCTTGTTGCTGCTGCTGTTGTTGTTGTTGAGCGGCAGCAGCTGCAGCTGCAACTTGTTGCTGATGGAAATCTTGTTGCTGTTGTTGTCCTGGATGCACCACCTGTTGATTTGGCTGTGGACCACCACCAGGACCAGATAGTCGTACCCTCTTCGAATTCGGTTCATGACTATGTTGCTGTTGTTGTTGCTGCTGCTGCTGTTGAGCTTGTTGTTGTTGTTGAGCCTGAGCCTGTAGCTGCGATTGCTGTTGTTGTTGCTGGGCCTGTTGTTGCTGCTGTTGTTGTTGATGTTGTTGTGCTGCAGCCTGTTGCTGCTGCTGTTGACGTTTTGTATCCGATTTATCTTCCTGATCATCATCTGTTAAAAACTCCCGCTTTGGATATGGAATTGGACAACCGGCAAAAACATCTTGGGTTGGTAATGGTTCTTCTAGGAAATATGGATCTTGCATGGCCATTTCTGATGTGATGCGTTTATTGGGATCCATCAGCAACAGTTTTTGAAGTAGAAGAAATGCTTTACTATCCGGCTTTATTTTATGACGGTCCATATATTTGGCCAAGGAACACGTGGAATACGATGAACGTTTAAAGTCTTTGGTCAGGGTGTGATGTTCAGGCATTTTCTTAATATCCTCCCAGTCTTTATCCTGAGGGAAACCCATAACATTGAATATTCTATCCAATTGATCGTGATGATAGGGATTGCTAGTCTTAATATCCTCTTGGCGACAATGGAAAATGGGTTCAGATGTCAGCAATTCAGCGAAAATACAACCAATAGCCCAAATATCAATGGCCTTGGTATAATGTCTGGCTCCCAGTAATAATTCTGGAGCACGATACCAAAATGTTACCACCACAGGATCAAGATCGGCCAAAGGTTTCAACGGAGCATTGAAAAGTCTCGCAAAACCCATATCGGCAATTTTTACTCTACCCCTTTCCGGTCCATCACCCATAACCAAAATATTAGCTGGCTTCAAGTCACGATGTAACACCCAGTTACTGTGTAAATAATGGATACCATCGAATATTTGATACAGTAAACTTTTCACCATTCCCCTTGGTACGACCACTTGCTTCTTAGCAGCCTTGGCTGCTCGATGGAATTTAATAATATGCCAGAGATCATGTTCAGCATAGTCGATGAGCAAAAACACTTTACGGTCCGTGTGGGACAAAAATACTCGTATCAATGCGATCACATTCTGATGTTTTAATTCGCGTAGCAAGGCGATTTCACGACATGCCGACATCGACAGACCGGTACCATCGATTTGCTTAAGGGCGTATTCCTTGCCATCCGATGTCTCTTTCCATTTGGCTTTGTAAACATGACCATAAGTACCCCGGCCGACTTTACAACCTTCATAGTTGAAGAGATCTTCAACTTTGGTGCGTTCCTTTTGAGTTTTCATTTTAAAGTCGTAATCCATTGTGCGGAATTAGGCTTGACTCCTTTTTTATAATTTTACAAAATAATATTTGGAGAAGATGCCAAAAGTTTTTTCTTGGGCTTTTGTTTACTTTTTTCCGGTATGCAAAAGTGCCAAAAATAAACAGCTGCCGCTGAACTACAGAGTTGTATTCGAAAATGCAATTGTTGTTCTCAGAACAGATGTTCGAGATTTGTTATTAGGGATGTCGATATAAGAACATATTGTAATGTCGGGAAATTAATAAAATGTGTACATTAACTGTTCCAGTAAAAATTACTCAGATATTGTAAATATTAATTATTGGGAAGCAGCGAATCGTATATATACTACAAGCCATGTTTAAGCGTAAGTTAAGTTTAGAGATTCGCCTTAGTTTTTTATCATGAAATTACAAATTATAATTGAAGGACTCGCATAGCTTTTTCGATGCGACTAGTCGATATGAGATTCATGTTGTTACAAGCAGAGGACACTGTTGGACAGCCAATAAAATGTTCTCTAAAGGGAGAAATATGGGAAAAGTTCCCAACAGAATATACATATCTAACAGCACTATTGAATGCTATTCCTTTCTCATGTTATGCATGTTAGCTGCGGTAGTACCAGTGCGTGAACCCTTTTTCTTTATATGCTGAGGAAGGAGACGGTCGCAGCTATAAACCACTCTATGGATAAGAGATGTAAATGACAGCTCATCATCAATAAGTACACCAAGGATTTCTAAAACGCCAACAATTTGATTTTCGACCCCTTCGTATTTAGGTCATGAGTATGAGATTTAGGTGTTTACCGACTGATTATATATTCTGTCTATTTTTTAAATTTTGGGTCCTATCTTCGAACTTAATTTAGATTTGAAAGAAATATTATGTGCAAAAGTTGGAAGAATTCGGTTACCTTATTTGAAAGTAATCGTGTGCATCTTTCAATTGCCCGAAACGGATATGGTCCAAAGTAATATGTGATATAAAACTGTCATATCAAAGGATATCAAACGTCCAGGCACATAGACAGATAAACGGAGGAGATTTTCAAATTGACTTTCAATTGCCGAAACGGATATGGTCCAAAGTCATATCAAGGGGTATATGTCCTCATTATAAATATCGTATTTATACAAAAAAAAAATATGTTTGTCATGGACCGATTTGCTCAATACTTTGCTGATCCAAATATGTTTCTAGTGCCTCTCCCACAAAGGGTCAACATTTGTATATAATATACACTCCACCTTATGGTGGAGGGTAACAAAATCTCTATAGTGTTGAAATCATGATAGAGCTTTGAATATTCGCATATAGATTGTTACTAATCATAGGATGTTTGGTATTGAAAACGGGATATATCTGTCCTCGTCTTGTTATAGCCCATTATGACAGTACCGCCAAATTCTCCGTATTTTGGGAATTTTTGACACGTTTTTCAACTGAGATGCCTGCAATTTGGTAAGTTGGTTTTGATACGGTGGAACATCTTCCTACCAAAATTGGTAATTTTTTGCGGATTTTTTTTGTGTTTTTTAAACCTAATTGGATGTAAGTTCATATCATGTGTTCTTATTGGGTGGCACATGTTCCCACCAAGAATTATATACATTAATTTACCATGGCACATCCCACGATACCGATAAATTACCAATGCTTTAAATGTCCAGTTCATTGTGAAGGATATTATAAGTTCAACCAGGTCGAATTTCACGACTTTTCTATTTGTTAATATTTGCAAAAGCACAGGGGCCCGGGCCTCTGGCTACGTCGTTGGTCTTAACGGAACTTTAGAATCCAACATCTGAAGAAATCCCAAAAATGTTTATACCCTTCACAACAGGGTATTATGTACATATGTTTGTAACAGGCAAATGTAAATAGACCCATGGTTCCTTTTAAGAATATGCATAGAATCATATTCTGAGTTGATTTATGCATGTCCGTCTGTCCGTCGGTCCATGTGTTGATGTTAAATTGCAAACATTTATGATCCGATTTGGGTGAAATTTGGCACAAGTCACTTATTTGGCCCAAGGATGAACCCTTTTGAAATTGGGAAAAATTGGTTTTGTTGAAATCGGTGAGGAGTTAGATAAAGCTCCCACATATATAGATACTTCCGATTTTATGTGAATGATGCATTAAAATCACAATATTAGTCTGATTGAGACAAAATTACGCACAGCGTACTGAATTAGGGTCAGACTGATGTATGCGAAGTTTTGTTAAAATCGGTTCAGAATTAGATATAGCTCCCATATATAGATTCGCGGGAGTGTATGTAAATGGTGCACGAAATTTCCAATATTTGTATAGCGAATGCAATTAATTAAATTTTTTTCGATAAACACAAAATTTAATTGACCGATTCCATCTCAATGGTCCTCAAAAGATGCTATGTCTGTTCTATGTACATGATATTGTATATATTAGCATCTCTTGTACGTACCCAAAGTGGTGAAGGGTATAATATAGTTGGCCCGTACGACTTTTGAACTTTCCTTAATGGTTTAGTTATGACTTTATAACCATAACTAGAACCTTTAATAAAATCTATGTAAAACCATGTCCGAAAACAATCAAGCTTCTTATAAGAATTTTAGTATTTGTTTTTCGGCTCATATTTCAAATATATATTACACTTAATACACACGCACTCTATTTTTTAGCTTTCCCACTAACTGTTAGTTTAAACAATTTAAAATATAACTAATATTACATACCTCTAAACTGCATTCATGGTAGAACAATTGACCTCGTATTTTCAGAGCATTTGCCAAAACGACACTGTCTTTGGGAGCACGCAAAATTATGGAATTTATCATAAACATTCCCTAGAATGTGACAAAAATATCATCAAATTTGTTGACCCAAAAACATTTCCCAAGAAGTAAAAAAAATTACCTCAGCAAAGGCGACTGGATCTGATGTCAGTAAGCATTTTTTAGCTTTCCAAAACATATCCTCCGATATTCCATAACGTTGTCGTTCATTAAAATTCGCCTCTTCATCCAGTATGTTTATAAATGTTTGAGTTTCTCTATAAAACAAAGAACAATATGAATATTTAAATACAAAACCCAAAAAATTGTAAAATTTTCAATATCCAACTTACTGGACATTTTTCACATTTAATGTTTTTTCGAATAGAACACACTCGGGTAAATTGCGCTGCCACATCACTGTGGGTATTGTCAATTGCAGGGGCAAGCGATGCATTTTCGAGTTATTATTTTATTTAAACTTTTTTCTGCAAAAATTGACTTTTTATTAAATATATTTTGGGCACTATCATTCAACAAAGGGATTTTCTATTCAAATACACTTCAAATTTCGCATCAAACGACTGATCTGCAAACAAGTAATCTATGTTATCGATAACAATATTTGCATTTTTTATCAATATTAACCCGTTATGTGAGTTTCAATATAACGGGATCATATTTTAGGATTGCCATCGCAGATTTTCAAGTTTCATTGGATGTGCAAATATAGAAAGTTTCACATGAAAGATAATAAAAAAAATGTTCTGCTCCAGAACCTTGAAGAATCTACTATATATTGAACAATTTTCCAAAACCCATTTTCCATCACCCAATGGGTTCTTAATGGGTGAAAAACTATTTCGCAGAAAATTTACAAGACTTGTTTGGACATATCCAAAGTTCCCGACCATTTTCGATATTCTGAAAGTCCCACATTACTGTACCCCTTATTATTCCGTAATTTGGGGATATTGGACATGTCTTCCAATCCAATTGCCAATAAATTCATGTTCTCAATGGATGTCAAATATTTAAAAATTTGAAAATGTTTGCCGATTTTTAGAATGGGACCAGTACTATAATTCCCTATTCACACCCTCTCCTTCTCGTCCAAAGATATGTTTTCTTTCATACAAAACATTCTTCTGTGTAAAACCTCCTTGGGGAAACCGATATCTCATCCAACTCAAAATTGAACTATCGATTCCAGGACTGTAATCGACAACAAAATGAAATATTTGTTTATATTTTTTGTTAACACATTCCTTCCCTAGTCGAAATGGATGAAATTGAAAATTTCTTTAATATTTCCAAAGATTTTAAACGTGTTAGTGCCCCAGCTTCGGTACCTAAACCTAAACTGGAACCCGTTGCATCGACATCAAGAAAAATAAAACGGGAATCCGATGATAAAAGTTATTACAAAATTAAAGTACCAAAAGTAAGTCCCAATCATTTTAACAATTTCAACTTTTAACAAAATGTCTGTCCTATCCTTATTTCAGTTGGAATCTGAAGATCAAAAGAAACGACCAAAACTCCAATTACCCGAGCACAGTAGTGATACATTCTCTGATGATTACGGCAATGAAATCAATAGTAATCCCTATTTGAATATTGACGATGGTGTCTATGATAATTTTGAATTTAATCTGGAAAGAGATTCTTCGTTGCCCATACATGATGCCAAAGATGAAATTTTGGATACAATACGTAAAAATCCAGTGGTAATAATTGAAGGTGATACGGGATGTGGAAAAACTACACAGGTAGGATATTTGTTAAGTGTTGGCTTTTCATTTTATATTTGTTGCGGTTTCAAATGAAACAGCGAATTTGGTTAAAAACGGGCTCAAGAAACCCAAAATACCGAAAATTGAAGGTGTCTTATATGGGGGCTACCCGAAAAAATGGGCCTATATTTATAATTTTTAGTGAAGAAATGACATCAAATGAAACAGCAAATTTGGTTTAAAAACGCCCTTAAACCACCCAAAATACCGTAAATAGAAAGTGGACCGATATTTATAATTTGTAGTGGAGAGATTTGGTACCGAAAAATAATCCAAGATCCCGGAATGTAATTTGTAATTCGGATTAGAAATTCCTTTATGGTAATAATAACTTTTAAGATCTATAAAAATAACTATAACTCCTTATATAGGTTGAATTTTACATTATTTTTTTAAAAGTAGAAGATCGTCCACAGCATGAACCATGGATCATGGCCCACAGTTCTTCTGTGGATTTGATATCTCACAGGCCTTCTCTGTCTAGAATGGCAATGTTCGTAAAATACGAAAATGTTAAAAATTTGGGAATTATATAATAATATGTGTGTAGTATGCCTAAACTTGTTCTACGTTGGTGTCCATAGTCCATGTTCAACCAAATAAAACCTGCAGAATAAACATAAACTTCGGAATCAGTTCCCACATAGCATCAAGTGTCCTCATCGCGGTTTGTCTCCCATTCGATAACACTTATCGAAACGGACACACACACACCAAGGTATCACATGAAACATATGATTTCAATAAAAACAATAACAATTATTCAATAGGGACCGGACCGGTGTTTATACACACATCTCTTATAATTTCTATATAATTTTAATAAAAATCCCCATTTATTAAATAAAACCATGAGTTTTCGCGAAAGTTATAAATTAATTACAAAACAAGCCATTCGTTGGTTTCCCGGCCATATGGGCAAAGGACTGAAACAAATGCAACAAAAACTCAAATCAGTTGATTGTATATTGGAGGTACACGATGCTCGAATACCATTCTCTGGTCGGAATCCTGAATTTCAACAGACAATTGCTGGTGGGGTGAAGCCACACGTACTTGTACTAAATAAAAAGGACCTTATCACACCAAAGGAACAGCGTTACATTCGAGATGCTCTGCGGGATAGAGAACGTATTGATCACGTAATCTTTACAAATTGTAAAGATCAACAATGTTCGGGTATACGTAAATTACTACCACTGGCCAGCGATTTAATTGGAAATTCAAAACGTTACAACCGTGAGGGTGAGCGTGATTATTGTGTCATGATTATTGGTGTACCAAATGTGGGAAAAAGTTCTCTGATAAATGTTCTACGTAATCGCCACCTAAAGAAGAAAGCCGTATCACAAGTCGGGGCTATAGCTGGTGTCACTCGTTCTGTTATGGAGAAAATTAAAATAAGCGAAGATCCCTTAATGTATATGATCGATACACCTGGTATATTGGAACCCAAAATAAGCAGCGATGAAATGGGTATGAAATTGGCATTGGTTGGTTGTTTACCAGATCATTTGGTGGGCGAAGACTTAATAGCTGACTATCTACTCTATTGGTTGAATAAAAATGAATGTTTTGAATATGTACCCCTGATGGGTTTGGAACAGCCAAGTGATAGTATATCTGAGGTATTGGTAGCATGTGCCAATAAATTAGGTGTTCAAAGGAAGATTAAAAGAACCGATGGCCAAATAATCATAATGCCAGATATACTACATTCGGCTAGACATTTTATAAAGCTATTTCGTACCAAAGCCTTGGGTCTACTCAATTTGGATAGACAGATGTGAGGGGAAGCGAAACATGTTACTGTGATTTGTTGTTATTGTTTAAAGATTTATGAAACAAAAAAAATTATTAACAAATAAATTTGGCATATGTTTTTTTAGAATAACCATTAGATGTTTCAGAATGATTTTAGGTATGACTATGGTTAAAATACTTTCCAACATCTGGCATAAGGTTAGGTTATTGGATGTACAACTGCTAATTATTTAGTTGTTTTTACCCTTCACCACACTTTGTCTTTGTGCATATGTTTGTAACAGGCAAAAGAAAACCAAATGGTTCCTTATATATCTTTCTGTTCAATTTCATGTCATGTTATAATGTTAACAAAGTACAGGTCGCATTTATCATCCGATAGATGAAATTTGGTACAGCTCATTTATTTGGCCCAAGGACGAACACTATTGCTTATATATTTAAGGTAGGCTTTATGAATGTTGGCATAATGCACTGAATTATGCCTGCATATCGTCTAAAATCGTATATATATTTGTGTATGTAACAAAGCAAGAAATTTGGAAACCAGCGTATGTATTTACGAGGAAATGTTAAACCAATGTTCTTATATATCTTTCGTTAGAATTCATGTCAATGTTCTGTCGAAAATATACACAAAGTTGGAATGAATTCGGCAGTCACTCTGGTCAGATTATTAGTTTCGTTGGAATAAAAATTCTTTACAATACCTGGAAATGAGTTTATTTACTTTCGAGTAAGCAAGCCTATCTACCTAAATTGGATTACTAGATTTAAAAAAATCACAATTTCCAAAAAATTATTATCCGGCCATAAATTTATTTCTCAAAGCGAATACAAAAAATTTTTGGAATTTCATGCTTCAATAGAATTTAAAATCTTACATCTTAAATTTAATTACAAGCGAATGCATATTTTTTTATTTATACATCTTGATCCAACATTGGTACATCAATGGCAATGTTACCAACACCTGGTACCGGAATCGAATAAGAAACAGCATTGCTATCTAAACTGCCACCACTTTCGTTTAAATCCTCCGTCATAGGGACATCATTGCTGTTTAATTTAGCTGCCGAATTGTTTGACACACTTGTCGTCATATGATGGCCACCACCATCAGCATTTAAGATTCTCAATTCATCTGGTACACCCAATAGACGATCGTTGATGTTTCTCTGATATATAGACCTCTTCTCATAAAAATCAATAATAAATTCCGGATTTTTTTGTTTCAACTCCTCGCCGGATACCAAATCAAATTCTTCACAAAATTGCCATTTAACCAAATAGGATATTTGTCCATTGGCATCTGTTGCACCGACAATCTGTTCAATGGGTAGGCCACGATCATAGCCTCGAAGTTTTTGTATTTCCTCAACTTTAGGTTTCTTTTCTCCACGTTTTTTGGACTTGGCCCTCGACTCCTCGAATTTTTGTATTATTGAGGGGCAATCGCAATTTTCCTCCGGCTCCCAAGTATTGTCCGAGTTAGGATAGCCGCGCCATTTAATAAAGTACTCAACTTTACCTTCAGGCGTTATTCGTTTATCCATAATTTTCTCCACCACGAATCCGGTTTCCTTTGCTTGATTTTTAACCATGTTGGAGCAGGTTTTATTTATCTGATTGATATTTCTTTAAATTGGAATTGTTTCTTTATGTTGTTATTCCGTGAAATGTTTTGTGTACCTTTTGGTAATTTTTTATTTAGCTAGTTATGTTATCGATAATTGTTTACGCATTGTGTTATCGGTTTCATATGTAAGCATCGATGACATGTTTAGGCAGACGGGTCACACAGTGAGTTCAACTTTTCATACCCTCTACCACAAGGTGGATTGTATACTTAATTATTCATTCCGTTTGATACACCTCCCAATAATCGTCTAAAAACCCCATAAAGTATCGATATTCTTGATCAGAATAAAATTCTATGTTGATTTATACAGACATTGAAATTAGGATAGATATCGCAATAATTAAGATAGAGCTCTAAAATTTAGCACAAACTTTGCTAGTATTTCTAAGACGTTTGGTATTGCAAATTGGGTTTATCGGTCCACGTTTTGGTATAGCCTCAAATATTAGGTATTTTGGGAACATTGGGCACAGTTGTCAACGGTATGAGATGTAATTTGGTATTTTGTGTTATTATTGTATAAAGAATCGCTTTTTTAATATTGTTGACCCCAGCTTCGGGATAGCTTCCATATTGCAGTATCCCCCATATATTCGTTACTTCGGGGGTGACAGTCACGGTATACATCGGAATTTGCTTTAATTTGGTATATGGAGTTATCTCTGTACATTCAACCTCTACTAAAAATTATTAATACTGACAAGTTTCGGGGTTGCACTCATATAAAGGTACACCCAATATTTGGTGGTTTCATTTCAAAGCCAAGTCCTTTCACCGGAGTTGGTTGTAATTTGGTATTATGGATTCTCAATGTATAGCCAACCTCCCTAGTAGAAATTATTAATATAGACTAAAGTTTTGGGGTAGCCCCCAATATTCGGTATCTTTTGTATGATAGGCAGGGTTTTCATCGGAATTGTCTGTAATTTGGTATTTTGGGACTTCAAATGGTGTACTCCCGAATATTCGGTATTTTGAGAGTGTTGGGCACATTTTTCAACCGAACAGAATATGTTCAAGGTATTAGCTCAATCTGAGTGTCAGTAATTTGATTTGGTTTTCCCCTGAAAACCCCAATTGGTTTCAGATTTGGCACGGCCGAACTTAACGACGTTTTTATTTGTTTGTTATAAAAAAATATTTTACTTTTCTGCGAAGTAGATCTCGGGATGTCGAATACAACATTTCGGTTGAAAAATGTTCATAGTATTACCACGAAAACACCTAAAATGGGGCAATGTCAAAACATTTTGCTGCAAAGGTAAATATAATTTTCCCACTTCGAGAACTCGGAATGCCAAATTAGCACCACATTTTTTGTAAATGCCTAACATGCGTTTGGACTTTTAAATCGGGTGATATTTCCAAATATGGAGCTATATATTTCCAAATTGCTGTAAAGTCGGCTATAATCATAAAAAATACAAAAAATGGGGCGGCACCTTAACATGGGGCTTTTTTAAAAACATGAATCTTTATTTACAATTTTCTGAGCATACGTTTTTAGGCCTTTTAGAGCTCAGAATGCCAATCTACAGTCATATCTTTTTGGAAGATGCGCTCAAGACCAGGAATATATAGGGCAGTATTAAAACATCAAACTATGATGAAAAAAAAAATTGGAAAATTGTTTTAACACTCCAATACCAAATGCGGTTGAAATATGCCGCAAAGGGTTAACCTTGTATGTAAGTTATACCAAAATGCGAAATTCACCGATATACTATCTTCAATACAAAACACCCTAGGAGTGATTTCAAAATACAAACGGACATCAATAAAATCGATGCTTCGGAGTGTTGCATGCGGGTTGATATATTAAACATACCCCCTACCATATAGTGAAAGGAATAAACAATGGAAAACATTTTCCAAATAAGTTTTTCCAATTAATTTACAATATGTAAGTCCACCTTAATCGAGGTATCTTTCCTATAGAAAAACCATACGTAGACAGTGTTATTTTCAAAACTTTATTATTTTGATTCCTTTTTAATTACCAATTTAGAATCTTCAAGTAATACTTTCGATGTACTAGCAACACTAGAATCATGGGCATCAATCATTTCATCATCTGTGTCATTGGGATTTTGAAATTGATTTAATTCATCATTTTCTTCATAGTCGCCATCATCTTCATCTTCGACTGCAGAGGATGATGATGCCGATTCATTTGTCAAATCGTCATCATGAGAATTTACAATAGCGGCAGCTTTACGTTTTAAATCTCTACGCCTTTTGCTTATGGTGTTGTCGTTAGTTTCTGAAATCCCTTCAGTTGTTCCATCCAATATATTTTTAATATTATTGAAAACATAATTCATATTCTTAAAGATGTTAGTAGGAGGTAATGTGGCAGTTTTTGACTTTCCAATTGACTTTTTCAGTGCATTATATTCATCCTCTTGGGCAGTCATTTCTTTAAGGTCATCTTGTATTTCGGGAACCAACAGCAATTTATCTTTGGCTGTTACCCTTATAACTTCGGTGTGTTTTTCTGCTTCGTTCTGCTCCACGGTTATTTTATCATAATCAACCAATTCCGGCCCAACACAATAATCCATAGCTGTGAAACGAAATGCCCCGGCTTTGTACAAACGCCAAAATACGTAACGGACATGATCCATTTTTGGGTCACCGCTCAACGATTCCATGAATGTTACAGTATCACGCCATGTCTCCAAGCTGACAGTAATTTTGACATATTCCTTCGTTGGCTGCTTAAAATAGATGGCATACATTAGGTACATGCCACCAATTCGTCGCAGCAGATTTCGCCGTTCATTACCCTCAGTACTCGATAGATATTTACCAAATTCATCTTTGGCACAAATTGACCTTTTGGCCATGTGAAAGATGGTCTTCGTTGTTTGTATAACTTCCAATACAGATGTTTGCACAGCATAGATATGTTGGAACATTTGTTTTTTCCACACGGAACAAAAGCTGGAAAATTCGACGGAATCATTGTTAATGAATTCTTCTATTAGATCGTGACAATCTTTGTAAAGTGCCGCTTCCATTGCGGGATATTTTTTTTTTTTTTTGTTTATTTTCAAATTCTGAGTTTATTATTGTTTACATTTGAGATGATAATCTATCGATGGCCGCGTTATCGATAATAAGAATTTAGAAATGTTTTCTTTTTTGTTCGATGTTACACATAGAAAGTTTGCGTGTGGAAAATCTGATTATTTCGAAATTCATATATGCAAATTATTATTAATATACATCAAAATGGACATGAACATTAAAAAAAAAATCAGGTTAGATAATTCGTTTATGATTCTGAACATTTTAAAAGAGGATTCGAACCTTTTGGAGGCGGTTATGCCTATAGGTCAAATGGTCTCTCCAAAAATAGTGTTTAAAAATCCACGCCCATAGGTCAGATGGTCTCTCCAAAAATAGTGTTTAAAAATCCACGCCCATAGGTCAGATGGTCTCTCCAAAAATATTATTTAAAAATCCGCGCCCATAGGTCAGATGGTCTCTCCAAAAATATTATTTAAAAATCCACGCCTATAGGTCAGATGGTCTCTCCAAAATTATTATTTAAAAAATATTATTTAAAAATTAAAAATCCACGCCTATAGGTCAGATGGTTGGTGAAAAAATAGGATTTAAAAATCCACGCCTATAGGTCAGATGGTTGGTGAAAAAATAGGATTTAAAAATCCACGCCTATAGGTCAGATGGTTGGTGAAAAAATAGGATTTAAAAATCCACGCCTATAGGACAGATGGTTGGTGAAAAAATAGGATTTAAAAATCCACGCCTATAGGTCAGATGGTTGGTGAAAAAATAGGATTTAAAAATCCACGCCTATAGGACAGATGGTTGGTGAAAAAATAGGATTTAAAAATCCACGCCTATAGGTCAGATGGTTGGTGAAAAAATAGGATTTAAAAATCCACGCCTATAGGTCAGATGGTTGGTGAAAAAATAGGATTTAAAAATCCACGCCTATAGGTCAGATGGTTGGTGAAAAAATAGGATTTAAAAATCCACGCCTATAGGTCAGATGGTTGGTGAAAAAATAGGATTTAAAAATCCACGCCTATAGGTCAGATGGTTGGTGAAAAAATAGGATTTAAAAATCCACGCCTATAGGTCAGATGGTTGGTGAAAAAATAGGATTTAAAAATCCACGCCTATAGGTCAGATGGTTGGTGAAAAAATAGGATTTAAAAATCCACGCCTATAGGTCAGATGGTTGGTGAAAAAATAGGATTTAAAAATCCACGCCTATAGGTCAGATGGTTGGTGAAAAAATAGGATTTAAAAATCCACGCCTATAGGTCAGATGGTTGGTGAAAAAATAGGATTTAAAAATCCACGCCTATAGGTCAGATGGTTGGTGAAAAAATAGGATTTAAAAATCCACGCCTATAGGTCAGATGGTTGGTGAAAAAATAGGATTTAAAAATCCACACCTATAGGTCAGATGGTTGGTGAAAAAATAGGATTTAAAAATCCACGCCTATAGGTCAGATGGTTGGTGAAAAAATAGGATTTAAAAATCCACGCCTATAGGTCAGATGGTTGGTGAAAAAATAGGATTTAAAAATCCACGCCTATAGGTCAGATGGTTGGTGAAAAAATAGGATTTAAAAATCCACGCCTATAGGTCAGATGGTTGGTGAAAAAATATTATTTAAAAATCCACGCCTATAGGTCAGATGCTTGGTGAAAAAATAGGATTTAGGCCATGTGAAAGATGGTCTTCGTTGTTTGTATAACTTCCAATACAGATGTTTGCACAGCATAGATATGTTGGAACATTTGTTTTTTCCACACGGAACAAAAGCTGGAAAATTCGACGGAATCATTGTTAATGAATTCTTCTATTAGATCGTGACAATCTTTGTAAAGTGCCGCTTCCATTGCGGGATATTTTTTTTTTGTTTATTTTCAAATTCTGAGTTTATTATTGTTTACATTTGAGATGATAATCTATCGATGGCCGCGTT